CTGAACCCTAAACCCTAAACCCTAAACAATAAACCCTAAACCCTAAACCCTAAACTCCCATACCTTAGACCTCAGCCAAGCATCCTACAGTCATGCTTCAGGATTGAGGGTTTAGGGTTTAGCGGTTCAAGGTTGGTATGCTCCCCCTTGTCCTAGCAGTCATTTATTGGGATTCTCGTACCCCCGAATATTCTCCCTAAACCCTAAACCCTAAACCCTAAACTTAAACCCTAAACCCTAAACCCTAAACCCTAAACCTGTGAAGGACTGTTAGTATAAGGAGCCCAAGTTTAGGGTTTAGGGGTGCGGGTTCAGGGCTTAGGGCAACTGACCCCTTCTCTGCTCAAGGCTGATATTTCGCAAGCAGGAAATAACAGAGAATGAAAGTCGTATGGGGTAGATGATCCCGATTCTAGGGATCAAAAACGAGCCCTTACTTTGAGAGGTAAGAATGCAACTTGCATCGAAGCCCGAACACCCCAACCCTAAACCCTGAACCTCTGAACCCTCAACCCTAAAACAGCCCTCAAGCGTTGCTTGTGCGTCGGCAAAGCAAACTGTACGTGGCTCAGGGCTTACCAGAACGGGTTTAGGGTTTAAAGTTTCTTAGGGGTCTAGGGTTTAGGCTGGAAAGGGCATTTCTCAGGGACAGTGGGGTAAAATCGCCGAAGTTCATAGGGCTTATACCTAGACAAAACAAGATGCTTAACCAACAATCAAGGCGCAGTTCCCTTAAAAAAAAAAAAAAAAGCGAGTGTGGCCCTAAGTGTCCATGTACCTATTTTTTTAAATACTTGGGCCCCAAATACCCTATGTAGCTAGTACTGCAAGTCCCAAGTATTCCCTATTTAGGTACATGGACCCTCAGGTTAGGTCTCTCTAGGCAAGTTGAGTGGTTGTTGCCCTGAGCCCTAAACGTTTGTCTAGGGCTGAGTGTCTGGCGACAGATTGAGCTCCATGGCCTTTGTGTATGTACATATGGGATATAAAATAGTGAGGGTACCGCTCACAACATACATAGAACCTCCCACACGCCTTAATACCTGCAACAGGGTGTTGGGCGGGGGGGGGGGGGGGGCGGGGGGGGCGGGGGGGGCGGGGGGGGGGGGGGGCGGGGGCGGGGGGGCGGGGGGGGGGGGGGGCGGGGGGGTTGGGGGGGCGGGGGGGGGCGGCGGGGGGCGGGGGGGCGGGGGGGCGGGGGCGGGGGGGGGGGGGGGGGGGTGGGGGGGCCGGGGGGGGGGGGGTGGGGCAGGGGGCGGGGGGGGGGGGGTACTAGAGCATATTTCTAAAGGCCCATACAGAAATGCTGTTAGTAATTACCCCGACCCCTATATTATGCTTTCGGTTCGCATTCGGATTGAGATGCCGCATGTCACGACGCTCGAAGGCGAAGGCCGCAGGCCAGTACCAGTACAAGGAGGGGCCCCCTTACTATGCGATATATAGTTAAGGGACTTATAACCTAAGTTAGGATCCTTTTAACCCAATTTAGGGTCCTTATAGCTCTCCTTATAACTAGGGGGGCCCCTCCCTGTACCTCCCTCCCGCCACGCGCTTTTTCGCAACGCGGCGGTGGGGGGTGGCAGGGGGTGCAGCTGTGAAGCCCGCACCACACCGATGCAATCTGAACCTTATAAACCCTAAACCCTATAAACCCTACACCCTTACCATAGTGCCTTTTGGGGGGGTTTCCGAAGTTAGGGATACCCTCTTAAAGTCCTTATTATCAAGGAATCCTATTCTGTGGAGTTTTCATTAGGGGGGTCCCTTGTTTTCGGAAACCCCCATATTGGGGGTACCCCGAATATAGACCTCCCAAATAGCAGGATTCCCTTCTAGTTAAGAAGGACCCCAACAGGGTACCCCCAACTTCGGCAACCCCCATCTGCCGATTGAAGTCGCAGAAGAACAAGAAGGCTCCGTACTACTGAACAGCTCCCTAAAGGCAACCATATAACTCCGTGTAGCACAAAAAAAAGGCGACCATGCCGCCGCCCCTGAACCCTAAACCCTAAACCCTAAACCCTAAACCCTAAACCCTGAACCCTACACCCTAAACCCTAAACCCGTAGGATGTGGTGCGGGAAAGAAAGCTCTGCCTTGGCTATGCTCCGGCACATGGGCCCGCTACCAATCAAGAGTGCTGAGGTTTAAGGGTTTAGGGCTTAGGGTCCTGAGGTTTAAGGCTCTGCAGGTTTAGGTTGGGATGTCCCCCCTTCGTCCTGAATAGGGCTTAGAATAGGGGGTGCCAGAGTCCCCCATTAAGGACTGGTAGAAGAAGAAGGGGGAACATCCCAAGTTATGGGGTTGAGGACTTTAGGACCTGCTTAGGTCTAAGGGTTGAATGCTTGAAAAAACAACCCAAAAGATCCTCGTTGCAAGGATCGTATAGGGATTCTTATCATGCTGGGTATGCGTACTAACTGGCAGCCTGCCCGAGGCCAAGCCGTACACCTAGAGACTCCAAAACCCCTTAATTAAGGAATATACCTTAAATCATACTAGGGTTCCTAGTAATTATACTTTAAGGAATATGCCTTAAATCATATTAGGGTTCCTAGTAATTATACTTTAAGGGATGTTCCTTAACCTAGGGGTTTTGGAGTCTCTGGGCAGGTTCCTGCTTCTGTTCGCAAATCCAGATGCGCATTGCCCGAAGCCCGGGGTTAGGCCATGCTGTCAAACGGAGACAAGCTTTTGGGGGCTTACGAAGATAAGGGAGCCCCAATAAACATGAACCCACAAATAGTAGGATTCCCTTCTGATAAAGACCTTGGGATAAGGTACCCCCTATTTCCAGAAACCCCCGCCCCTATGGGCATTTGTTCCAAAAATAGGAGGTACCCTTCACATTCATATACCCCAAAATAGTGTAATCCTTATTATAGAAACCCCCCGACAAGGGTACCCCTAATTTCGTCAACCCCCACTTCAGCAATCTTGTGATTAAGAACATCTCTCTAAGCCCTATAAACTTTGGCTGGTCCTACACTCGAAACTACGTAGGGTTTAGGGTTCAGGGTTTCGAGTTTAGGGTTTAGGGCTTGTGGATTAATTACCATACTGCAATCCAAGTACCTTGCAAAGGAGACCAATCAGAATCAAGCAATGGCCTGAAATCCAAGAAAGTGTCTCCTTCTTCCACGGACGCGTTAAAGCGACAGGACCTTGGTACGAGACTTGCATCACCCAGACCCAGATTCACATGCCCTGGATTTCCAGCGTAGACAACGTGAAGTGCGTTCACCCCCGGGCTTTTCGTTGGGGCAGCCTTCAATACCGTCATAGGGGATAGGATTAGGGGGGACCCTTGGGGATATAGACCCTATGAATAAGGTCCTTGTGTAAGGGACCCAGAAGAGGGTTAAGAAGGGGTTCCCTTTTAAGGGTCCCCCTTATCCTACCTAGGACGTCAGGTCTTTGTGGCGCCTCTCCCAGCTTCCTTTGGAAGAAGGGCAAGCAGCTGTTTCAGAGAACATTGTCAACGTCTACCAGATCCATCCGAGTCCGAGTCGTCTCCTCGCTCTGCAAGGGCTCGGACTGTTCTACGGTAATTGCATGCATCCTGCCCCGACTTCTCCTAGTCCCAAATCAGTCGAAGGTCTGTCAGACATGAGCAAACAAACACCAGCACCTACTCCGAATCGTAGTCTTCTGCTTGTTGCAATGTCTGCACAGGAACCATGTGCAACAATTACCTATAGGGCAAGTTCTCAACGGAAAGAAGTCTTCAGCTGTGCAGTTTACCTGAAGCCTCTTTGCTCGGCTAGACGGGACGCCCTCCCAGTGAGCCTTTTTGTTGCGAGAAGAACAGCTCAATACTTTCCACTCTGTTTATTGCGGGAAGGTTGCATGCTGCTCTGCTGCAGTGCAGCCTGGGCATTGCTTAGACAGCTCTCATATGGGTAGCCCCCTAACTTCGGGTCGCTCTTTTAGGTTCTGTATATGGTACGGCACCTTCAAAAAAAAAAGGTACCCCCTAAAAGGGACCCGAATTTGGGGAGCTGCCCATAGAATCACGGCAAAACAAAAATCAGAACAAGGACATGCGAGCGGGGGTTGCAGACTGAGGTCTTAACAAGGGCGGCCTCAGTTTTCAGCAACATCCGAGCGTCCCGGGCGCGTGCCCGACACAGTAGTTCACGAGAACTGCAGCTTGATATTTGTTGTTTCTTTGGGGGGGGGGGGGAGGTCGGCAGAGCCGCGTACCCAAGAAGCACTATGCAGAAAAGAGACGGAGCCTTGCCCATCGCCTATGACTGTATAGCTCGAAAGAAAACTCAACACCGACACAAATCAGCACCCGCTCTTGACTCCAAAGCCCTCCTGCGCTGAGAACAACTAATTAGACTTAGGGTACCCTGTTGGGAGCTCCTATAATAAGGATGATCGCATTCCTGGATGTATTAGGATCTTGGGAAAACATTGGTTGCATCCTTCTGCATGGGCGTTGTTGGCACCGCGGCACGCCGCCCACATGCCCTGAGATCTTGAGCTCTTCAAACCGTAGCTGTGCACCGTCGCATCCCGCATGGCCATATGGGTTTGTATTTTAATGGGGAGGCGCGCGACACGTGTTGGGGTCGGGGTATGTTTCGCGGGTATGTTTCGAGGTATGTTTCGGGGTATGTTTCGGGGGTATGTTTCGCGGCATCATGAGCTACTTTGCCTGCAATTTCAGGGGTATGTTACGGGGTATGTTTCGGGGGTATGTTTCGGGGTATGTTACGGGGTATGTTTCGAGGGTGTGCAACCCGTGTGCCCTTCTTAAACCTGAGCCCCCCCAAAAAAACACAAACCCATATGGTCAAGACCGTAGCTTACGCAGACGGTTACCCGGCTGCCCACTGCGACGTACGGTCAGGTGATTTTCAATGTTCATATTCCCCATACTGTAATTAATCAACAGTCTTGAAGGGGTTCTGGGGTACCATCGAGGGTGCAAAGCTCTCCAGAAAAGCCCAAGATGTACGCGCTTCTTGTCTTGCTGGCTCCAATCTTCATTCATCATCCACGAGCCACGCGCCGGCGCCAGTCATGATTTCCTCGCAGTTGTGCAGAATGGCTGTGTGATGCTTCGAGCGAGGACGTCTAAGGTTAGCCTCAGAGGCCCTTATAAAAGTCCACTCCTTAGATGCCCCTTGTACCCTAGACCTCCAAGTATATGAATAGTACCTACTTTGGGGTCTAAAGTTTGCAAATAGTACCTACTTTGGGATATTTGGAGCCTTAGGGATATACCCTACACAACCCAAGGGTTCATAGAAACCCTCGGAGGATGAGTGCAGTCTGCAATGTCATATCATCGTCAAGGGTTTCGGTGTGAGACCTCCTGGAGAGCCCCGAGCCAGCGGTAGTTCACCCTAAACCCTAAACCCTAAACCCTAAACCCTAAACCCTAAACCCTAAACCCTATAACCCGTGGCAGCCCTGAATCGGCTGCAAGCTTGCCCTGAACGGCTCAAAACAGCCCAAAAGCCTGATAAAATCAAGCCTCTGGGCCCCAAGCACCCTTAAACCCTAAACCCTAAACCCTAAACCCGAAACCCTAAACGCTAAACCCGAAACCCTAAACCCTAAACCCTAAACCCGAAACCCTAAAGGAGAGTGCCTGGTTGAGGGTTATAGGGCGCAAGCATCCTGACCCCTGCTGCGGCGGAAGAGCTTGACAGCTTCGGAGGCATCAAGTAGCAGCACCGTAGGATGGTAGGGGTTTAGGGTTTAGGGTTTAGGGTTTAGGGTTTAGGGTTTAGGGGTAGGACGTAAAACCTATGAGGTTGCAGCTGTCCTGGTTCACAGTGTTGGGGAGCCCTTTACAAGATTGCTAGGTAACCTGCCGCAAAACCAGGTTTAAATATTCAGGATCGGGTTTAGGTTCCCCTTATAAACCCTCATCAACCATGAAACCCTAAGCCTAAAGCCCTGAGACCCAAATTTTCCCAACAATTCAACTCCTAACCGATGTAAACCTGCCAGTGACGGACGACGAGCCAAGAAGCTTTAAGTTTTGCCTCCATCTGTTCATGATCTTCGGTCTTCTTCCTGCCACGTACAGAGTCCTGTGCAAGATGAGGGGAGCCCTAGATCCCTACACCCATAAACCCTATAAACCCTATAAAACCTTAAACCCCCTGAACCTCCAAACCCTAAACCCTTGCAGAGCCCCCCCAAAAACCCTAAACTCCTAAACCCTTTCGGATTCCAAGCTGCGCGCTGATTACCAGCAACTGGGGCTGAACCCTATATATACATATATGCATATATACATATATATATATAGTATACACCCTAAACCCTAAACCCTAAACCCTAAACCCTAAACCCTAAACCCTAAACCCTAAACCCTAAACCCTAAACCCTAAACCTTCAATGCTATGTATATATATATATATATATGTATATACTCTTTACTGTAAGGTATTGTATAGGCTGCCTCATTACCCCACTCCCTACTAAGAACCAGCCAAGAAACTGCTAGGTTTCAGGCCCCGAGTTGGCGCACATCAAACCATCGTTTGGGTTTAGGGTTTAGGGTTTAGGGTTTAGGGTTTAGGGTTTAGGGTTAGGGTTTAGGGTTTAGGGTTTAGGGTTTAGGGTTTAGGGTTTAGGGTTTAGGGTTTAGGGTTTAGGGTTTAGGGTTTAGGGTTTAGGGTTTAGGGTTTAGGGTTTAGGGTTTAGGGTTTAGGGTTGTTGAACCACAGGGGCGGGCCATTTTGAGGACATGGACCCGAGACGCTACAGGTCTTCCACAGGTACTTGTTTCCTTTGAACTGGGCTTGGCCAGACTTGGCAGAAAGTCATTAAAACGTACGATCATCCACGATGCGCGCGCACTTCTGAGACCCTAAACCCGAACCCTAAACCCTATAGACCACACCGATAACCTCGGAACCCCGGAACGCGTAAGCCCCGGACTTCAAGGCTCAACTTGCAAAACTTTGTCACCCTCAAGTGTCCCTGTTTAGGGTTTAGGGTTTAGGATTTAGGGTTTAGGGTTTAGGATGTAGGGTTTAGGGTCCTATATACGGTTTTTTGGGTTGAGGATTTCGGGTTTAGACTACTATATGGGGAGCCCTTTGAAGGCCCAAGTATCTACTAGTTATACCCTGGGCTCCAAGTATACGAATAGTACCTACTTTGGGCTACCTGGAGCCTTAGGGATAGAATAGACGGGAAAATGTATGTGTAGTCCCTACCTTGGAAGAAACCCTGGAGAAAGAAAATGTATGTACGTTTTAGGCAGAAGACGCCATCTCTGAGGGCCCATGTACCTATATAGTATATACTTGGGCCCTAAAGCTACTAAATAGGGACCCCTTTGAAGCCGAAGTATATACTATCTAGGTACATGGACCCTTTGGGCATAGTACTCTAAAACCCGGTAACGCAATAAGGCATGGAATGACCTCATTACCCCGGGCCTCAGCGGCATGAAAAAACCATTGGGACTCATGGGGGGCCAGTATCTTTACGGTTTGGGGTTTCGGGTTTAGGGTTAGGGAAGTTGCATGGTCACTTGATATGGTCCCTTACCTCCTTCAGGGAAGTTGCATGGTCACTTGATATGGTCCCTTACCTCTTTCGTTAAAGGGTTTTGGAGTATGGGCCCTCGGTTCCCCAATGACGAGCCCATATTAAGGGACCAGTGCGCGGTTTAACGGTTCTGTTCTTTTGGGCATTCTAAACCCCAAACCCCAAACCCTAAACCCTACAAACCCCAATGCCAGGCTGGGCCAAGAGTCCCGTCTGACTGGCGGTTGGAATGTAATCCTCGGTCTCAGACCATAACAGGCACTTAAATCCTCTAAACCCCAAACCCCAAACCCAAAGCCCCAAACCCCAAACCCTAGTCCTAAACCCTAAACCCTAAACTCTATTTAGCCCCAAAGCATGTGGGGAGCAGGAGCGCGCGAGCCCTCGCGAGAACTGGGGAGGAATTTGCAGGGTTCGTCTACGTCGCTTTAGGGTTGGAGATGGTGTTGAGGGATTTGGGTGGCTTTAGGGTTTACCCCCCCCAAACAATTTTGGGGTTGTTGCGTATCCTCTGAAGACAGGGACGGGGGTTTGCCGACTTCTACCTCAGACGAAACCAAAGAAACAAGCCTTCAGCTTAGACGACAAAGCCTTTGCTTCCTCCAAATCAGGATCCCCAAGCGAGGAACTTCCTATGATGGCGGGTGGCGATACTACAGTGGGGTGCAACATTGGGGTGTAGGTTTACGGCTCAGGGTCTTCGGGTTTAGGGTTTCGGGTTTCGGGCTCAGGGTCTTAGGGTTCTAGTTGCAGGGTATAGGAGGCATAGGCCTTGAAGACTGAGAGTTTACACAGACTGGGGGAGTCTCTGAAACCTAAGCCCTAAAACCTAAACCCTAGGGTTTAGGGTTTAGGGTTTAGGGTTTAGGGTTTAGGGTTTAGGGTTTAGGGTTTAGGGAAACCCAAAATCCTCAAGCGAGAGGCCCAGTGAGCCATGTCATTTGCTCTTGCAGCTTGTTGATCTCCACTTCCACGAACGTCTGGAATTTGCCCTGGTTTCCTTAAGTCGCCGCCAAATCGTGTTAAGGGTTTAGGGTTTAGGGTTCAGGGTTTAGGTGGAGGGTTTAGGAAAAAAAGCTCCATTCCTGAGCCGTATACCCCAAACTCCAACATAGTAATGCCTTTGGTCTGGGTTCACACTGAAAAGTCCGTGCATAAGTGCCAATTACAAGACTAAGTTAGGATCCCTTTAACCCAATTTTGGTCCGTTTTACACTCCAGGGGGAACCTCCTTGTAAGGGCCTACTGTGAAGAAGAACGCGTCGGGGCCTAGTGCCCAGGTAACCTACAAAGGTGACTTTTTGGTGTTTGTACTATAGGGGGCCTTCATAATTAGAAAAGGGTATTTGGGTGTTATTGTAGTGTACTATAGGGACCACACGGGAATACTATTAGTAACTATTCCGACTCCGACAGTACCTTTGGAATGTTCATGCTTATGCATGTATAGCTTCAAGCACAGTGGTCGCCCTTGACAAACTACGCTCATCCTGATTGCAGGCCTTGGTAGCTCCATCTTCGAAACCCCCCAGCCCCCAAGTATGGGTTCTACAACAGCTTAGAGAAAGGTCCTGGGCCGCTAAACCCTAAACCCTAAACCCTAAACCCTAAACCCTAAACCCTAAACCCTAAACCCTAAACCCTAAACCCTAAACCCTAAACCCTGTCCCAGTGGGCATACATTCCGGACATCAAAGAAACTTGCTGGGGGCGTAGGGGGCAGGAGGGGTCGGGGGAGTCGCGTTAACTGGGTCTCGGGCAAACACCCTCCACCCATTAAAATGTAGCACTTCGTAAGACACAGGCCTTCGCCTAAGCCGTACAAACCCAAGCCCGAAAAACTCGAAGCACATGGCCCGGGTGACGGATCAGCCATGTCTGATCGTGAATGAGCCTGGTGCTCGGATCACACAGGCATTCGTGACAAGAGGGTGGAAAGGTTGTTCAACTTAGGGTATGGGAACTAAGCTAGGATGGCCCTTAAAACCCTCAGAAAAGAAGTTCCTGAACAAGGGAAAATATGCAATGTCCTAAGGGCCTACCGAGTAAGAGGGTTTAACTACAACGTTGCGGCTGCAGTTTGCAGACAGCAAGCTTGGGCTTTCGAAGGCTTCATAGTTTAGGGTTCAGGGTCTGGGGGGTTTCCGAAAGTACCCGCTCTGGTTCCTTTAAGGGGATTCGGTTCTATTTTGGGGTAGAAAAGCGGTACCCCTATTTTGGGAAATACCCGTATTCTGTGTAGACATGAGCCCGTTCATGATCGGTCTAGGGTTCAGGGTTCAGCGTTCAGGGTTTAGGGTTTAGGGTTTAGGGTTTAGGGTTTAGGGTTTAGGGTTTAGGGTTTAGGGGCGGGTTAGGGTATTGGGCTCACTGAGGCCGAATGACCCAGGATTTCCACCTCGAATCGTAAGGGCCCAAGTTCTCGAGGGAAGGCCTTCTCCACCATACATGGGGGGAGCAAACTGATTTATTCTTCTTGGATCCATATGATACAATGTTGCAGTCCGGATACCAAAATAAGCCAGAGGGCCGGGGGGGGGGGGGGATGTTGCCCCCCCCCCCCCTCCCCCAAAACCCTAAACCCTAAACCCTAGACCCTAAACCCTAAACTAACTTCAAAGGAGGCACTTTCCAACGTCGATGGCTCTCGCTTGACCGCGGAGCCGCAGGCAACCCATCAAGAACTCCTGGGGCTAAGTCAGTTTAGGGTTTAGGGTGACCCAGGAGTAACCTAGGAATAAATACCCTGTTGGGTTTAAAGGGGATTACAAGGGAACCCAACCCCAAACAAAAGGGAATAAGTGTCTACTCTGGGTCCTACCCATGGCCTGGCCCGGCCACTTCAGAACATCCGAAGATAGCGGTTCTCACAGCCCAAAACGCATACAGTTCTGTGGACATGCAAGGAGGGGCCCCCTTACTATACGAACTATAGTTAAGGGACTTGTAACCTAAGTTAGGATCCTTATAACCCAATTTAGGGCCGTTATAACTCGTATAACTAGGGGTCCCCCTCCTTGTGAGCATGCTGAGTCCTTCCTGCAAGGTCTGGATATGCTCGGGGTTTAGGTCTTAAAACTTTTTTAAACTTGGGGTCTCCCTGGGGCTCTAAGTTCTGCAAAGAGTAGTACCTACTTTGGGCTAATAAGCGGCTAGTATACTATATAGGTACCAAGGACCCTAAACCCCCCTACTTTGGAGTAAACCCTTTTTGGAGCCTTAGGGTCTCTTAGATCTTTTGGAGCTCTTGGGGGTTTGAAGGGTTCGGCTGAAGGCTATTCCAGAACATGATCCTCTTAAACCCAGTACGGAAACATGTCACATGTCCCAAGGGCCTATCTGGCTACAAGGAGGGGGCCCTTCTAGGCTATAAGTAGAGTTCTAAGGACCCTAAACCCTAAACCCTAAACCCTAAACCCTAAACCCTCTGATAGTAATGGTCCGAGGGTTGAAGGCCTCCTCGCCCTGAATCCCATGTCCTCGATTTTCACGTCACCACCAGACTCGAGGTCCAGAAGTTTGAAGAAAGACCACGCCTCAACTGCGATACCCCCTAAAATTGGGGGTTTAGGGTTTAGGGTTTAGGGTTTAGGGTTTAGGGTTTAGGGTTTAGGGTTTAGGGTTTAGGGTTTAGGGATCATGTGGGGGTTTCCGAAATCAGGCGTACCTTGTTGGGGTCCGTACTTTAAAGGGAACCCTACTATTTAGGGGGTCCATGTTGGGGGTGCCTTGTTTGCGTCATCCCCATGTCAGAAACCCCAGACTCTAAACCTCCCATGACCTTGAAAGCCGTAATCCTAAAGTCCTAAACCCAAACAGCATTGCAGCGCAAGCCAAAAAAATCCTGAACACAAAGCCCGCAACCCGCCCGCAATCCTGAATCCAAAGAGTACCGCAAGCAGGTTAACAACCCCCCCCCCAACCTCCCATCGCCTGGAAATGACACATCAAATGCGCGAAGCTAACCTGTCAATCTTTAAAGTTAAATGCTGCTTCCGAAAATACCCGAGTTCCTATAGCGCTTGTCGAAAACCGCTCAATTCCTGCCTAAACCCCTGCGCCTTCGAATCGCAAGCCCCATCTCGGAACCCCGAAAGCACTCAATTGTACTTCGCATTTTGTGGCTGCTAGCTAGCGCCTGGCCCTAAACCCTACACCCCATATAAACCCTAAACCCTAAACCCTACACCAAATGGAAACCCTAAACACCTTAAACCCTCAATGTCTAAAACCCTAAACCTTCAAGGCCCGGATAAATAGAAGTTGCATGTGATTCAACACGAGCAGCTCGTTAGTAGTCATGTAGTTTGGGGCTTTTAAGGCGTCAACAGACAGGCCTTCAAGGCCCCCGAAAGCCACACAAACCCTGTACATTGGGATGTTCCCCCTTGTACAAACAGTCCTTAAGGGTTTCGGGTTAAGGGTTAAGGGTTCGTGATTATACTAGGGGGTAATAGAATCCCTGTTAAGGACTATTTGTATAAGGGGGAACATCCCAACCTATACAACTTCTATAAACCCAAAAACCTCAATCCGAAACCCGAACCCTGAACCCCAAACCCTAAACCCTAACGCCTAAAAGCCGAAAAGCCTAAAAGCCTAAAAGCCTAAAAGCCCAAAAACCCAAAAGCCTACAAGCCTAAAAGCCGAAACCCTAAACCCTAAACCTGTAGGCACGGTCCAAGTTGCATCCCACACGTCAAGGCCCAGGACCTCCGAGAAGTTTTAAGGTGTCCAGGGTTTCTATGGGTTGTAGGGTTTAGGGCTTTGGGATGTTTAGGGTTTAGGGTTTAGGGTTTAGGGTTTAGGGTTTAGGGTTTGGGGTTTGGGGTTTGGGGTTTCGGGTTTGGGGTTTCGGGTTTGGGGTTTCGTGTTTGGGGTTATGGGATTGGTTTTGGATTTAGGGTTTAGGGTTCAAGATGTGGGGTTTCGGGGTTTTGGGATGTGGGTCTCAGAGTTTCGGGGCAGATTCGGGCTTCGGGGTTTCGGGTTTCGAGGGCTTCAAGTTCCAGAGTCTGTTGCTTCAGGGTTTGTAGGGGTCTTAGCCCTAAGCCCTAAGCCCTAAACCCTAAACCCTAAACCCTAAACCCTAAACCCTAAACCCTAAGCCCTAAACCCTAAACCCTGAACCCTAAACGCTCCCGAGGTCCTGGCGGGCACCCTACACATAGGGGTCGGCGGCCCATGGCCCTTGCAGGTGTATTACAAACGTTTGGAGGTAGGCCCTTTTCCCCCGGGTGACATAAGAATACCACGTTTAGGGTTTAGGGTTTAGGGTTTAGGGTTTAGGGTTTAGGGTTTAGGGTTAGGGTTGATCGGGTTTTGGGGCTTAGGGTTCGCTCCTAGATCCTGGTCTTGGAGGGACTCAGGGGTCTGGGGCACCTAGGGTTTTTGTTTAGGGTTTAGGGTTTAGGGTTTAGGGTTTTAGGGTTTAGGGTTTAGGGTTGTAGACGAATCACGGGTCTAGGGTTTAGGGTTTGGGGTTTGGGGTTTCGGGTTTAGGGTTTAGAGTTGGGGGTAGAACTTGAAGTCCCCCTACAGCCGACATTCGCATCCTGGCGAAAGCCCTCAAAACCCTAAGAGCCTAAACTCCTAAATCCCTGAAGCTCTAAAAGGCCATCCTTCCCAAAGGCTACACCCTAAACCCTAAACCCTAAACCCGAAACCCTAAACCCTAGACACAGTTGGCTCCCTCATGCCCGGCAACTGCCTCAAAGTACGCACGAACAGCGGGCGAGTTGATCTTCTCCTCGAAGCGTGCCTGGGTCTCCAGATGTCGGCTGGAGGTTTAGGGTTTAGGGTCAGGGTTTAGGGTTTAGGGTTTAGGGTTTAGGGTTTAGGGTTTAGGGTTTGGGGTTTGGGGTTTGGGGTTTAGGGTTTGGGGTTTAGGGTTTAGAGTTTAGGGTTTAGGGTTCAAGGTGGGATCGAACACCCTCAACCCCAAGCTCTATAACCCCTCTATCCTAGCCCCGCCCAAGCCCTAAACCCTAAACCCTAAACCCTAAACCCTAAACCCTAAACCCTAAACCCTAAACCCTAAACCCTAAACCCAAAACGAGTTTGGAGAAGAACTTGGCACCTGATTTCACGGGGCCAAGGGAGGCCTTGAGGTGGTGAGGTTTGGGTTTCTTGGGGTTTAGGGTTTAGGGTTTAGGGTTTAGGGTTTAGGGTTTCGGATTTAGGTTTAGGGTTTTAGAAGGGCTCCTTGTTCTTCCACACCCGTCCCAATGTGGATGGAGTTTCGGATTTAGGTTTGGGGGCATGGTGTTTAGGATCTAGAGTTGCAAGGGTGCCTCTAAACCCTGGTATCTATATGGCGCTGATTCGGTAACGCGCAAGAAAACACAAACCCGACACGCCAGGGATTCATGGGCTATTGACTATTGCTTCGGAACTTAAACAAAATTCACGTAGTCAGATGCAAAATAAGTAAGGTTTCGCGTGTAGGGTTTACGGTGCAGAGTTTAGGGATTAAGGTTTAGGGTTAGGTTTCAGGTTTGGGATACAGCCCTTATAAAGAAGAACATTTTCTACTTGTATTTGTTGGGGGCTTCGCTATTTCTAGTGATGGAGAGGTTGAAAGGATTAGGTGTGGGGTTAAGGGTTGCAGGGTTTCAGGGTGTCAAGGCTTGACGGGTTTAGGCTTCAAGGTTTAGCAGCTCACTAAAAACATCCGGCCCGCAACAACAGAAGCACACCCCACACATGGACTTTGGGGTTCTAAAGCCTAAAACCTGAAGCCTACACCCTACCCTAAACCCTTCCCCAAAGGGTCCATGTACCTACATAGTATATACTTCGGCTTCAAGGGGTTCCTATTTAGTAGCTTTAGGGCCCAAGTTATATACTATATAGGTACATGGACCCTCAGGGTTATAAACCCTGCATTGAAACAGTCAACGGCTTTGGACGTTTCATGACTCGGTCACAATTGGGGCGAAGTGTCGGGACCCGGAGATTCCACCAGAGCCCTAAAGGGCTTAAGATTTATAGCAGAAGCCAAAAAGTTGGAAAGTCAAAAGCCTCAATTCCTAAGAGTAAAGTATAGGAAATCCCAGCACTTTCTGTCCTTAAAAAGCTTTCCAACTTTTTGGGGTTTAGGCTTCAGGGTTTAGGGTAAGACGTACGCATGCCAGGGGACGAAGGTGATGGTTTGAGTCTTCTCGTCCCCGATCTTGCTGAAGAGCTGGCGAATTCTGCTGATATGAGCCTGCTTGTTCCTGACATGCTCAGCTGGATATGCAACTGATGGACTAGAGTTCTATCTTAATAATTATACCCTTAAAGAACTTGAAATTGAAGCCCAAGTAACGGTATGACGGTATGTGTTCCCTATCTCAGACGTTGTCAAGAGAAAGCCTACACCCCCCTAATGCCTAAAGCAGGTTGAGATGCGGAGGCCCTTAAGCCTGGACGTGTAAAACAACCTTCCAAAGCCTTCTACCATTCTACCGCAGAAAAGTCTGTACCCCAGAGCAAGCAGGGGGGGGGGGGACGGGGAGGGGGGGGGGACGGCGGGGGGGGGGGGGGGGGGAAGGAGAGGGGGACGGAGGGGGGGAAAGGAGGGGGCGGGACGGGACGGAGGGGGGGGGGGGGGGGGGCCGGGGGGGTGGGGGGACGGGGTGGGAAGGAGGGAAGCGGGGTGGGGGGACGGGGTGGGAAGGAGGGAAGCGGCAAGAGAGCCTTGGTTGCACTGACACGGTTCCCTCAATTCAACTCAACCCTTCATGCATCTTCAGCTTAAGGTTTCGATTGTCCCGGGTCTAGGGAAAGTGGGTTTGGGGTTTAGGGTTTAGGGTTTAGGGTTTAGGGTTTATTGTAAGAGCGCTGCACCCTGAATCTCGGGAGCTTGGCTTCCGACTAGAAGTCCCTCAGTTGCCATGAGCACAAGGGCATAAAGGATACCAATCTTTCCTCACTTCACCCACTACTAATTGCTTAAGAACCCCGAAACAACAGATAAAATCATATGCTTCTTTAACAAGGGTAATATAGGGATTTGTTGTTAATATTCTTTTGGGGTCCTTAAGCAAATAGTAGCCCACCCTACTTTGGAGTAAACCCTGGAACGAAAGTGTATATGTTTTAAGGTATAAGTAGCTATAACTATAACAGGAACCCAGAACCACGAACACTATTACAGTATAGTACTCCAAAGCCCAGATAAAGGCTGCTGGGTGTAGGGTACTAAGTCAACCTCAACCCCAAACCCTAAACCCTAAACCCTAAACCCTAAACTACCCTAAACCCCAAACAAGGAAAGGAGGTGAGTGGATGGTGCAGGTCCCCTGAACCAGAAGACCTGAAGATAAAACCCCCTTTGAACTCCAGTGGTTGTGCCACATGTACAAACAAAAAAGAACATATATATATATATATACATATCCACAGATATATACAAACGTATATATATATATATATAGATATATACATATATAGTGTTTCTCATGAAGTAATGATATACATATTTTCTTTAAAAAAAACAGCGGACCCTCACAGCCGGCAAACTGAAAACCCGATTCCCTTTACAGCAACACAAGCAGTGAAGCGTCTTCAGCACGGAGTGCACCATCGCCGCGTGGTCGTTCTGCGCGCTCTCCATGGCGGATTGGCCTGGGGTTTAGGGTTTAGGGTTAAATTAGGGTTTAGGGTTTAGGCTTTAGGGTTTAGGGTTTAGGGTAAAGGGTTTAGGGATGTTTGGGGTAAAGGCTTTTTGGGGCTTTGGTGTTTTGAGCTTTAAGGTTTTTTTTGCAACAGAAGTACAACAGAACCTGGGGAGAGCCTCGCAAACTTGGTACCCCTGCGCTGTAGGGTTTAGGGTTTAGGGTTTAGGGTTTAGGGTTAGGGTTTAGGGTTTAGGGTTTAGGGTTTAGGGTTTAGGGTTTAGGGTTTAGGGTTTAGGGTTTAGGGTTTAGGGTTTAGGGTTTAGGGTTTCTTCGATAGATCTGCTTGTCCCACCCTAGACCCCTAAAGCCTAATCCCCAAACCCTCTGTGGGAATGCATTTTCCAGATCCTCACTCCAGCGGATTCCTAACCGCTGCAAGTTCCAGCCCTATGTTTTTTAGGGTTTAGGGTTTGGGGTTTAGGGTCTAAGCGCCAAACTCTTAAGAATTAACCCTATACCTGTGGAGTTCTAGCAACCTTGTGGGGGTTCCTGCACCCGAGAGGAACCGAGGAAGAACATGGGTGCCCTTGTTTTGCCTGAAAGGGGCGTACAAGGGAACCTAAGCCCAATACAACATGTTATGACAGGGAAGAAGGGCCCCTGGTTCTTAGTAGGGAATGAAGGAAATAGGGCCTGTATATATATATATATATACCTTTTAATGGATGAAACAGGGTACCTCATTCCCTCATTCCCTACTTAGGAATGCCTTGCCATTCGTGCAGTCTCTGAAAAGGGGTAGTTGGGTGTTCTGGCACGTGAAGCCCTAAACCCTGCTGTGTTTAGGGTGTAGCGTTTAGGGTAGGGGATAGGATTAGGGGGACCCTTGGGGAAATGGACCCTCTGAATAAGGTCCCTGTTTAAGAGAGCCAGAAGCGGGTTAAGAAGGGGTTCTCTTTCGAGTGCCCCCATTATCCTACCTAGGATAGGGTTTTGGGTACATCAGACATGCCTCGTAGGCTTAGGGATCGCAGTTTGGGAGCCACGACGAGTGAGAACGAGCTCACAGGCAAAGCTGTACATACATGATGGCCATGCTAAAGTACGCCTAAACCCTAAACCCTAAACCGTAAACCCTAAACTCTAAACTCTTAACCCTAAACCCTTCAGGCATGCAACCAAAAGACATCATCAATGCCTCAAGCCCTGTATCCCTTCACCCATCAGAAACACCACCGACTCACTCAGTGCCCGTGGGGCCGAAACCTGAACTGCAACCCAAGCACGTGCCTTTTCTCTAAACCCTAAACCCTAAACCCTCAAAACTCAACCCTAAACCCTAAACCCTAAACCCTACACCCTCAAGGGTGGACCCATGACCCTGAACCCTAATACCCTAAACCCTGAGGCCAAGATGCAGAAGACAGCTGTAACGACCTGGCTGCGACAGCAAGCTCCCTCTCAGGCAGCAGCCCTAAACCCTAAACCAAAAACCCTAAACCCTAAACCCTAAACCCTGAACCCTAAACCTTCCCAAACCCTAAACCTCCCTAAACCCTAAAGAACATCGGGGCCGCCTTGATATGTGTTTTTTTTTCTCTCTCTCTCTCTCTCTCTTTCTCTCTCCGAAAGCTCGGCGCACCCTCTCATTGTAAGGGTGTCTTCGTAGGGTTTAGGGTTGTGGGTGTAGGGTGTAGGGTAAAGGGTTTAGGGTTTAGGGTTCAGAAGCACGATGCACATGCTTTGCATAAGGGGTGCACTTTGTGCCAGAGCCCGAACAGGGCAAAATGAGCACCGCTCGGCTTCCTAGCCCTAAACCCTAAACCCTAAACCCTAAACCCTGAACCTGAACTCCTCGGCTTGTGGGGCTCTTAGGCTAGGCTGCAAAGGGCTCACAGGCTTTGCGGGGGCTGCTCGGATTCGGGTTTAATAGGGCTTAGGGTTTAGGGTTTAGGGCTTAGGGTTTGGGGCTGACAGGATTTGCAGGGCTCATAGGACCTGTGGCAGTTTTATGGGTTGCAGGTTGGCGGCTGCATCTCCTCCCTCAAACGTACCTGTCTCCCTTTAGCAGGCACCATTTCGGTACTCACTACGCTCTTTTGTGAGCTTTCTTATGGCTATTCCGTCACAACAACGATTGCTACTTGTTACTATTGCTACTACTCGTCATCATTGTCCTTCGACTCTTTGTTGATTTAGGGATTTAAGCACGGGGCGCTGCACAGTTTCACAGTCAGAGGAGAGGAGGGGTCATGGCTTTGAGGGTTTGGGTTTGGACTTTGCGCTCGGAGTGCTTCGGAGCTGGGGTGGTGTGTTGGCGACGGCACCAAGCCCAAAATCCTCAAGCCCTGAAACTCCAAAACCCTCTAAATCCCCCCGACTCCCCCCCCTTCTTTCATGCGGTCCGAGGCTCGTTGAGGACCGCAAAGTAGGTGAAAAAAATATAAAACAAAAAGAGGAAGACCCATGCTGGTGAGATCCATCTTAATGGAGACAGCATGAGGTGCCAACCTTAGGCGCGAGGTCTGCATGGTTTAGGGTTTAAGGTGTAAGGTTTGGGGTTTCGGGTGCTTTATCATTAGAGCCTAATCCTTCTCACCTGGCGCAAACCCTGCATCCTAGATCCGTACCCACAGGAGCTACTGCTTTTATTCAGGGCCAACAAATAGACTAAATAAACAATTCAAATCAACCCCGGAAGAACTACCAACCCTAAACCCTAAGCCCCAAGCCCCAAACCCTAAACCCTAAACCCTAAACCCTAAACCCTAGCGCCGGGAAACTACTCAAGAACCCGAATGACCCCTGCGATGCGAAGGCAAGGGTCGTACGCTAGGCCTGATAAGCGGGGCGTGGGGTTCAGGGTTCAGGGTTCAGGGTTTAGGGTTTAGGGTTTGGGGTTTGGGGTTTAGGGCTTAGGGTTTAGGGTACCCTAAGTTGGGTCTGAAGAAAAAACTACTCCAAATAAGAAACAACCGGTAGGGTTGATTTGGTCCCCGAATAGGGTTTCTCCAGCATGGTCCGCAAACCCTAAACCCTAAACCCTGAGCTTTAAACCCACACCCTTGGCTTTTGAGTTCTGGTGGGGGGCTTCAGGAGTCGTCCCTGCAGGCCCAGCGTGTTCTTTATACTGTCTGAGTATTCGGGTATGGGGTTTAGGGTTGCGGGCTTAGGGTTTAGGGTGATAGGAAGAAGCTGACTCTTGGGGCTCCAGGTTTAAGGGTCGCAGGGTTTAGGGCTTGCCCAGACAGGGTTATGTACAGGCTGCACTTAAGCATGCTGCTGGAAGTAAATCTCTGGCCATCAACAACTCTCGAGGTTTGGGGTTTAGGGTTCATTCCAAACCTTAGACCCGAAAAGCCTAAACCCTATTGCTCTTTGGGCTGGTTCTAGCCATGTCAGAGGCCGCGTCCTTGTTCCTAAAACCTGAAACTCGAAGCATGTCCCCCACACACACACACACACACGCAACCTGAAATATGTGCAATCGTACCTTGGGGTTTTCCGAAAATGAGGTTATCTTATTGGGGCCCTTGTTATGCGGGAATCCTACTAAGTGGAGCTGTTTCTTTGGGGAGGTCCCTTATTTTCGTAAACTCCCACCTGTATCATGCAATTCGATGCTATCTTTTTCTTCTACTGGACAATGAGATGCATTGCCCCTTTAAGCTTGCAAAGGAAGTCACCGAACCATGCACGCTTAGACCCTAATACCTAAACCCTAAGCCCACAGCCCTAAACCCTAATAATCCCCAAACCCTAAACCCTAAACCCTAAACCCTCAGCCGTCAACCCTACAGTAAACCCTGTGACGATCCAAGGTTGCTTCGGTTTGGGGTTTGGAGTTTACTTGTAGCCAAT